TGAAAATTAATGTGAATGTTTGGTATAAAATTTTTTGAGAAAACCCTCCCCGGAAAAGTTACACCCCTTCGAAAATTAAAAAAAAAATGGTTTTTCATTTTATTTTCCCTGTATATCAAGCTAAAGACACGAAACTTGGTAAACATTATCTGTCAATAAAAGTACACTTTTTGAAATTTTTTCAACCCTGAAGTATGCTTAGAAGGGGCTGAAATAATCAACCCCTAAGATATTTTTTCTTACAACTTTTTTTTAGATGAAAATTTTTTCTTTAAAAAAGTATGACTGAAAAGCCCAATTCATTGACTAATTGACTAATCTCTACAAGTTTTTTTCGAAAACTTAAGCATTTATGAGAAAAAATAAATAAGCTCATGTAAAATAGCATTTTATTAAACAACAAAATTATGATTCTTAAGACTTCTACAACTAAAAACAAAAGTGAACAAACAATGAACAAAAACCTGTCGAATATCGACAATACAATTATAATAAATGTTGAAAATGACCGCCTTCAGCTTCAATACAAGCATCTACCCTTTTCCTCATAGAATTGTGTATACGATGAAATATTCCTGGAGAATTTCTTTTAGTTTCACACCCTGCTACAATGCGGTTTCGCAGATCATCGATATTTTCAACTGGGTTTGTGTATATCAAAGATTTCAAATATCCCCATATGCAAAAATCCAAAGGATTAAGGTCAGGGGAGCGGGCTGGTCAGTTTACAGGTCCTCCTCGACCTATCCATTGATTAGCACACACCTCATCCAGGTGAGTTCTTGCACGTATACTAAAATGAGCTGGTGCACCATCGTGCATAAACCATAAATGTTGCCTAATTTGAATGGGAACCTCTTCAAGAAGAACAGGTAATTCTTCAAGGAGATGACAATATGCTTCACCATTTAATCGTAGCGGAAGAAAATGGGGACCAATTAAATGATTATCAATAATTCCGAGCCACACGTTTAATGAAAATTGATACTGATGATTTCCTTCAAAAAAGCCATGAGGATTTTCGTCAGCCCAAAGGTGATTGTTGTGAAAATTTCTAATACAGTCTCTTGAGAAACTCGCCTCGTCAGTAAATAAAATCTTACCTAAAAACTGTGGTGCTTGGCCAATCATATTAATAAGCCACTGACAAAAAATCACACGGGGTAAAAAATCTCGAATCATTAACGCCTGCACCCGTTGAAGATGATAGGGATACAACATTTGTTCTTTTAAAATTCTAAAAACAACGGAAAGGCTTACATGTAGGACACGAGCTATTCTCCTGGTACTAGTTTCTGGGAATTCTTCAATTGAATTAAGTACGGCTTCTTCTACAGCTGCAGTTCTAACTTCTCTAGTACGACCAGAATCATAACTTCATTTTTCAAAATTACCACGTTCCCGCAAGCGTCGGTGAATAGTTGTGAACGTAGTATGATGGGGTAGTCTACGCTGTGGGTACTGTTCAGCATAAAGTATTTGCGCTTCCAATGAATTACCGTTAGCACGACCGTATGTAAAATGCATATCTGCCATTTCCAAATTCGAATATGCATTCATATTTTCAATCAACTAATATTTCCTACAATACACAATCATAAAACTTGTGAAACAATAAGATGGGTAACAGAAAATGACACTACACAATCCTGGTATCAGTATTAATGTTTTTATGCAAAGCACAAGCCACTAGACTTGACGCAAAATACACTCCCGTTAGCTCATCTTTTTGAAAATGCATTGCATTAGATTTTTTTTCTCGTAAATGCTAAATGCGTTTTAGAAAAAACTTGTATAGTTAAAAAAGTTAGTCAATGAATTGGGCTTTTCAGTCATACTTTTTTAAAGAAAAAATTTTCATCTAAAAAAAAGTTGTAAGAAAAAATATCTTAGGGGTTGATTATTTCAACCTCTTCTAAGCATACTTCAGGGTTGAAAAAATTTAAAAAAGTGTACTTCTATTGACAGATAATGTTTACCAAGTTTCGTGTCTTTAGCTTGATATACAGGGAAAATAAAAAAGAAAAACCATTATTTTTTTTAATTTTCGAAGGGGTGTAACTTTTCCGGGGAGGATTTTTTCAAAAAATTTTATACCAAACACTCACATTAATTTTCATCACCGACTCGCCCCTTTAATTTTTTCGGTGTTATTTAGATAATAATATAATAAAATAGACAATTCCGTCATGACAGAAAATTATATAATTGACATTTTTCTTTTTTTAATAAATATTAATGCTTGGCAACCGAGGTCGTCAAGTAGATAGATAGGGTGCACTTAAATCCTGCCTCCCACTAAGCTGCCTTAATAGGTAATATTGATATGTGTGGCATGGGTGTGACATGTATCAATATATTATGAGTTGGAGTTAGTATGTAGTGCTTCCAAGGCGCTACATACATGATAATATATTATTGAACAATCACTTTTTTGGTGCTCTTCAGAACAATTTGGACATACAATTTTATGGATGTAGTTTTCCTTCTTATAAAAATATCCTTGACAATTGTAACACTTGGGTATAGTTAGATCTTCAAAAACGCTATTCCTTTCCCATCTAATACAGATTTTTTTCTTATTTATGATTTGGTGAAATGCCATAGGTGAACATTCGCAGAAAATTGTTTTAGTGTTGTCTCTAGTTTTCCTTTTGATATATGTGACTTTGATATCTCCTTCTATATTGTTTTGTTCTTTTATTGAATTTTCAATTTCCAAGTTTGACATATTTTGTGTGAAATTTACTATTTTTGTAAATTCTATTTCATAGTTTTTAGGTAATTTATTCTCAATTTCATTTTTTAATCTTACAGTTTCACTTTTTGATTGACATTTTATTATAACTGCACCTTAATTTATTTTTTTAACGTTTGATACTCCTAATTTTAGATCGACGGGATTAAGTTTTGAGTTTAATTCTTTTACAGTTTCATCGGACGACTGGTCATTTTTCGGTCTTATAATTACTTTAGGATAGTTTCCTACAGTTTTTTTGTAATATTAGCATATGTAGTAGTATTTACCTGGTTTTTTTTCTAGGTTAGCGATTTTTTCATTTAATAACTTAATTTTAATTTCCTGATCGTCAATTATCTTTGTTTTATCCTGTATGATATTTTCCAATAATTTTGCATGCTCAAATTTTTTGCAGCTGTTACAATGGAATTTCAGGTTACGTTTCTGCAGGGCATACATAGTACTTCAGAGGAGCTTAATTCGCTGCATTCAATGCAATATAATTGTTTGCAGATGTCACAAGCAATGGGATTTTTATGTCTTTTGTGGGCTGATGTATTCTCTTGCATGAAAAACAGTCCATTTTTTTTTTAATTATCACATACTGTTTTTCAAAATTAACACTCCACTGGTATTTACTATTTATTCCTTAAATTTTTTTATAGGTACTATCGGCTATCTTATCTGCATTTTTAAAAAAGAACCAGTTTATTTTGGCTAGATAATTAAATTTATGGCAATATAATCGGCTAAAATACGTAATTTTTCTGTATTTCACTTATTTAGTTCCAAAACTATTTACATCCATTTATGAAGCAGATTGTTACACATCTTTGGACATAAAATACTAATCACTTTTCTCAATGTAAGTCACTCTTTCTATATTACTTTTACTTCTTATTTCAGATTCTGTTTGGTCTATTATTTTCTATAGTTAGGTAATCATATTGCAATTATGTTAGGCTTGCCAACCGTCTTCTATTCCAGAGGACAGTCCTTTTTTGTATCGTTCTGTCCTCTTTTTTCTAACATATAGAATATGTCCTCTTTTATGACCTACCATACTTTCAAAATATAAAAATAGCAATAGGTAGATATGTGTTTATATGTTTTTTATTATATATTTTCTAATAAAAATTTTTGTAGGAAATCGCTTGTTTTATTTGAAAAATTTCTTTCTATATTATTGGAAATTGTTGCACCCTTGTAAAAATTTTGCTTGCGCCCATCCCCCCCTTTTGTACTAATTGTAAATCCTCCACTAGGTCCTCTATTTTAAATGTTGAAAGATGGCAACCCTAAATTATGTTACTGTTAATATTTTAGAGACTACCTTTAGCACTATGACTTTCGTGACTGACGAACAAAGATAAGGAGAATTAGTTCGACACATAGCATGACCACCTACGCCTCTTTTTGCCACTCCTGATGACATGTACATGGACAGAGAAAAATTATGCCCCGATAGTCAAGAGCACGGAAGATAAAATTGGAAAGATTTGTGCAAATACAAACAGAAGCTTACATTATTTATTTTCACTGATGGAAGTATTTTGGTTTTCTTTGGCGATAGTTTACCTATTTTTGTGTAAATTAATATATAAAGGATCAATAAAATAAATATAAATAAAAAGTTTTTGAAGATTGACTAAAATGGATCACATCTTCGAAAACTACACCTCAAACACTATAAGAGGTCGTGAAAAGAAGCACGTCCTAATTTTACTTGTTTTCGTCAAAAAATAGGCATTTTTAAGTTTTTTTTTTTAATTTTAGCAACAGTTTGAACTAACTAAATTATAATCATCCACAGGTTTAAAATCAATTTCTTGACAATTAAAAAATATTTTATTTGAGGTGTATCATGTTACATATAAACATTATGTCTATCGAGATAAGTACAAGTCAAATATAATGATTTTCCAGAAAACGCCTTCAAAGTTTTCTGAATATCTTTCCCTTATATGCATAAAATTGATAAGTAATTTATTATACGTTTTCCGCAAGACAAATGTTTTATTTTATTGAAAGTTATTAAACAAAAAAAAATAAAAATATTATGAAAATCTGTCACTTATACTGTTAGGATTTTCTACCACCATTGACTTATACTCTTAATCTCGTTTGATTTTCATAATCTATCTACTTATTAACTACATTTTTTATATAAAAATAAATAGATTTGAATTACTTTTTATTAAAAATATGTACAAAAATTATAGGAGATAGCTACTTTAAGCTGAAATTCGAAAACAAAATTTTATTCTAGCTCTTCATCTTTTTCTTTCACTAGGTCGTGCAATGTGCTTTTGGCATTGTTAGTAGTTTTCAGATTTTTATCAAAATCGTGAAAGTCTGGACTTAGTAAATCCAGAATCTTTTTTTCATTAGAAATTACTAATGAAGATGTATAGCAAGGTAGCGAATTTAAGGGTGTATCTTGTGATATCCTTCCTTCTAAATTCATACATCGAAATTCTTCCCTTTCGTCTAGTGAAGACTTGAAAAAAATATTTTTTGGAAATTCTTGACGGTACCTTAGCCACCGTAACTCTGTCCACTTGAAGGAGTTACCATTGCTATCTTCTTGTTTTAGTTTAAGATGGCTTTTATATAGGTCGGAATAGTTTACGAAATCTTTGTGGTTTAATTCCACCACTTGAAACTTTTTCTTTTTTCCAGTATCTCGTACTAACTGGTACCAATCGTGAGGAACTGAAATTTGCATCTGTAGATGTTTCTTTTGTTTCTCTATCATCCCATGATCAACATCACATTCAAGGTGGCTATGACCACTGACCATAAACTTGTGGTCTATTTGCTCCAGCTGAGAACATTGCTGCAAAAGCGTTAAAAACATTGCTGAGACATGTGAATTTCTGTTTTGGCCCCCACATGAATCTGAATATAAAATGGCTTTTTTGATTTGTTGTGTCAAACTTGACAGTTGTTTAAAAATACATGTAGCGATTTGATTGGCTCCTCTTGCACCTTCGGCCTCATGCCACATGAAGCAAGTTACATCCCCTGTTGTCGTTTCATGGAAAGTTAGGTTGAACGTCCACAGTTGGCGTTTATAGAATGCCACCGACGTATTTAAGTAGGGTGTTGGCAGGCACTGTTGGAGGTCAAATGCGTAACATTTAATGGTGTTGTCCTCCTTAGCACGTTGTTTGTCCTCTCGCTTTTTAGTACATACCAAATCTGCCTCATCTTGATGTTTAGTTTTTTCATCTTGTATAGACTCATCTTCTGACTTTGCTTTTCTTTTTTTCATAAAAAGTACATCACACTTGTGAAAAGTATCTGCTTTTGGCCCTTTGAATGAAATGTTGAGTGTTTTAAACTCACGCTCATAAATTGATTTGGAGACAGGGTTTGTAACTTATTCTACATAGAGTGCATACATTTTTGTCAAGTTTAGGTAAGCAGGTAAATATTTTTTTTGCTTTTTTTCTGGTATAGTGGAATTCATAGGCGGGGAAGGATTTTATGTCATTATGAATTGCTCGAATGGTGTTGTCTGAAAGTTTATTAGCAGGCGAGTCTTTACCTCTCTAACTGGGTTCCAAAATACCTGTGGTTGACCTTTAAGCAGACACAATAGCAATTGTCAAGAACATGTTAGTTTCCCCTAAAGTTTTCTGAAAGCAACCTCGGCAAACCTTAGACAGTTTCCGATTAATTTTAAAATAAAATGTGTACTGTCTAAACTTTTCTTTGTCAGGATCATCGGTTTGTTTCCGAATAACTTTAGGCTCAGTTAATTGAGCTAAATTAGCAACGAATTGCGTTCTTTCATCTCGACTTCCGAGGCTCCAATATTCTTTAAAAATAACTTCCTGGATCTCAGGGGGGATACGTTCCATGCATTTGGCGAGGAAAACTGTCAAAGCTGTCATTGCCCTTGCCGGTTTTACTTTTCCGTCAAGAGTTTCATAGCTCTTCCCAGCATTTCGATTTTTATATTTTTCTATTCTTCTTTTTTTGGAAAATTTTCTGTCAGTAGGTGTAGCTTGGATTACATTTTGTTCTAAATGTGGTTCCTTCGATCTATTTCGTATTTTAGAGCTAGAACTCCGTGTTTGATGGAAAACTTCTTCATCAGAGGAAATACTCTCCTGTTCAGGGTTATAATCTGAAAAAAAATAGACAGTTAGTATACTTGTTGCATTTTCTAAGCCTCAATTATCTATAAAAATAAATGCTTATCTTCGTCAGTTTCTTGACCCTTGACCCTTGACACTTTCAGCTATTTCCATGTCTTGTACTAGTTGAGTGTGTTGGACTTCATCATAGACAGTACTCTGTTGATGGTCCAAATCTGTAAAATATACAGTTTCACGTTTTAAGGTACATATTATTTTGGGCTCCTGTGACTAGAAAATTATCAGAAAATCAAGTCTTACCAAGGTAAATTTTTTGCTGTCCCGAAATGTTACTTGGACCAGCCTCATCATCATTGCAAAAAATTAATTGATTAATATCCCCAGTCGTTGACAGGTAAAGATTCCCCAAAAATTCTTTTTCATTTTGGACCATGGATTGTTCTTGAAAAAACCAAATATTTTGAATTCAGACTAATTTTCATTTCACTTTTGTTTTCACAAGAAAAATAAAAAATACTTTTGAAATGTATCAATCCCTTATTTACTAACTCAACTGCATGATCATCGACAATAACATTCGAAGTAAACCTATAAGTAATACTGACATTATGATCTACACAATTTACATCAGCTTCTGTTTGTTTTTTATCTGAAAATAAAATAAAAGTTTGTTTGTTAAATAAGTTATCAAAACTTGATTTTGGAAGTATTTTACATGTTTTAGGTAGTAAAAAAAAACAATCTACTTACTTTCAATTTCAGTATTGTTTATGTTATTGCATATATCCACCATTTTTTGCCTCTGCTCAAAGAAGCCATCTTGCCTACTCTTAACCACGAAAAATAATAATACAACAATTCACTGGAAACACTATTACCTACTTAAACTTTAGGTGAGAAAAAAATCAAACTAAATAAGTAGAGCTCACATGCCTAAGAGTGACAAGAGAAGACTGATAATAATAATAGCTTAGACTGCTAACATAAAAAGTCTCAATATTACAAGTCAGCGGTCTGCTATCTAACCAACAGTGAGAAAAATGGGTCCTAACAGTATAACTTGACTTATACTCCTTATACAAATCAGATAATATGGAACTTGACTTGTACTGAAAGGTTTAATGCTAAAGCGTTAGTAAAAAATACTCAGCATTGACTTGTACTCTTAGGGCATATATTTAGATGATAAACATGAACTATAGTAAAAAAACCCGAAATCAAGAAAATCTGACTTATACTCTTTGTACTTATTTCGATAGATGTTATACGTTTTCTAAATAGAGTTATTAAGCACTTGCTGCATCATTATTCTGCGTTAAAAATGCACTCGCACTGATCAAATGTCAATCTAGTGCACTTTTTTTACTATCTATTTTTGACGGCGCAGAAAAAATATTGATTTTTATTTTTTTATTCGTTTATTGCATTATATAATTTATTTTAGTTCAGTTGACCGAAGAAAATTTGACTGGTCAAATCCACAACCTTAATCATTACTATTCAAACTATTTGTAATACCTAAAGATTGAATTCGTGACATTCAAAAAGACATTATTAAAGCCGCTATTACCTTAATAGTCGTAAAAATTGATTAAACCAAAAGTATCTGGCTCGCTACTACTAGTGCTTACTGCCTACCTACCTACTAATTTTCTTTTCTAACATTTTCAATCAGCATAAATCACCGGAGAAGGGTAATTACAGTATCAAAAAAACCGTGACTGAAATCCCGCGGTCCGTATAAATAACGCTTTGACAGTAATATCGGCGGCAGCATAAAAATTCAAGTAACGCTTACCGACCCGATCGGGGGTGGGAAATCACCATAAACAGGAGCGGTGCAGCGATTATTTTCTAACAGGGTTAAATTATTCTTTACATTACGCACTTATAAATCCTTTAAATTATTAAAATCTAAATTAACTACAAAACAACTTTTATTAAAATTTGTTTTTAATATTTTCCATATTTTAAAAGTTCCACACATTTGAGTCACCCTGTATAGACACAAATTATATTAGACTATTTGAAATTTAAATAATACTAAATTTACTGTGTTTAGTTTTATACAGGTGGTAACAGAACTCATTATTCCACACAATTGAGCTACCCCATATGTACAGAGTTATTCATTATAAAATAACTAACATTAGTCATTGTTATGATAAGATAAAACGAGAAAAAATATATAAGGCGATGCAACAATTAGGAATACAGGAAAACCTCATAAGATTATTAAAAAATGTTAACTGGAACAGATTATAAAGTGCTTGTTAATGGTCAAACATCAGACAAATATAAAGTTGATAAAGAGACACTACATTATTTAACATAATTTTAGACTCTGCAGTAAGAGAAAATGGAATTCAAACAAAAAGTATGCTATATAATCAGAGAAGTCAATTGATGGTCAAAGCAGATGATTTGGTAATCCTAGCAAGAACACGAGGAAATTTAAAAATAACAAAGAAGTTAAAGAAAGCTGCAAAAGAAATAGGGTTAATCACTAGTTTACAGTACATCTGTTGGCGAAGAAATTTCAGCTGTTGCTGACTACATATGATATGCTAGTTTCAAAAATATAATTAGAAGATTTTTATCAGCTCTAATTTTTGAGCTTCAGCTATGTAGGTATAAAACAGAAAAAAAACATGTAAAAAATTTTAAACATAAATATTTGTATAATATACCTACTATTTATTTATATTTTTAATTTTTAATTATAAGTTCTTTATCTGTTTTATTGCCTATTATTTCAACCTTCATTTTTCCGTTATACACTTTCTGATATTTGAATTAAAAAAAAGTAATAATAATAAATTACTATTACTAGATACTTACTTAAATAATGCAAGTTTATAAAATATGTACATAATTTAAAGAATTTTAAAGGTATGTATTAAATTTATTATTTATATTAATTGCAAACCCCGTAAAAATGATGCGACACTGAAAATAGTGGCTACCTATTTCCCCTCCTAACCCAAACAAACGCTGTTGAATGCGGACTCTATGAAATATATATGCTCGAAGAATTTTTCGAAGTGATTTCCAAATAAATATTCTTTGTTGATTATATTATTAGATGGTGGTGTTTAAGGACTGACATTTTTGAGATAGGGTTAAATAAATATTGTTTTACTCTTTTCATTTTTCTCCCCAGATAGCACAAATACGTCTTATGGACGTTCTAAAAACGTCCGGCTTGGACATTTAGGACATCCTTAAAACGTCCATTTCACGGCCGTGGACGTCTTATGGACGTATTTGGAACGTCCATTGTTAATAATCAGGATGTCTTAAGAACGTCCATTTAAGGACATACCATGGACATTTTCAAAAGCTCAAATGGGGAATAATAGGATGTAAAGAAATTAGTGAAAATAATGAATAATTTCAAAAAAAATTATTTGGAAGCAAATAACCTATAAATAGTGAAATTATTAAAACTTTTTCCTCAAATTCATCCCGTCTCTCCTCTACTTTGCTCTTTTCAATCATGCCTGGATTGAGAACAGTTGTTTTTTTTTTTCTTTTTGATTTGGCCATATTTGCCTTCCCAGTTGAACCTGAAAATAGGAATCGCTTATTCAAAATTCAGATCAATACGAAAATCCAATCTGTTGGTTTAAGTTTGCCCTGCTAGACATTATGTATTCACTAACCTTTTAGCTATGTAGTATTCACTTAAAAACTCCTCTACTTCGCTCTTTTCAACCATGCCTGGATTGACAGCAGTCAGTTTTTATCTTGATTTGGTCATAATTGCTGAATCTGAAAATAATTTAATCGCTTATTCAAAATAAAAGGCATATCAAAATTAAAATCCAATCTGTTTGTTTCAGTTTGCCTTGCTAGACATTATAAATTCACTAACCTTTTAGCTTTGAAAAACTTCCACCTTTCTCAGATATAAAAATGGTACAAATGGCGGAATGATAGAACTTGTACTCGTATAATATGTATATACCATCGAATCATGAACATTGAACACTTTTTTTTAATAAAACCTGAGCCCTGGGAATATTTCACTTCAGTGCTTGAATCTGAATCATACATAGATAAATTATGTTTATTAATTTATCTATGGAATCATCTAAATAAATAAAAATAAAAAGTCACTTGTCAACAATGTCACTTTCTTGCAAAATATCTTCTTCGTTTTTGT